GATTAGAGAGTAAAAGTGAATTGAGGCAAAGATATTTATGTTTAAGTAGTATTTATAAAATATTTATATTTCCTTGAGAGAGTGTAGCTAGACAAGAATTATTTAGTGTTAAGTGTTTAGGGTTTGTTGTGGAGTCAGCAGGATGCAATTATAATATGGTAAATTCCAATTTTTTTCAGCACATCAATAGAATTTCATACGATGTTTAAGATTTTTACCACTCTTAATTATTTCATTATTTTTTCCTGGAATTTTTTTATCTGAAACACTAACTTAGGACTTGCTATCTCACTTGATTCCACTCTCTTTCTGTCCATATTGTGACTGAAAAGACTTGTTAATCACAATAGAGGTTTTTGGTTTTTTTTAGCATGTCTAGTTTTCCTTGACCTCTGCATATAAATCAAAGTTCCTTCACATGAAGTCTTAATAAGCATAGTTTGCATTTACCCCTGAAATACTCGTGGGACACCAATTAAATGAAAAAAATTCGCATGACATATTAAGAGAAAGAAACATCAAAACGTAGTTGAAATGAAGACACTTGAATAATAACTTAAAGGTCTTAGATGTTAAAGTTCAGACTTTTAATTGTTTTTTTTAAAAAGAGCAAACAGCAATGATTTTATTTCAAATGACAATATGTAAAACCATAATAACTACCTGTTTTATTGCAAAATCATAAAGTTTGTGATCTGTAAATAAGCTATTTCCTCTGCAAGACATTAGTAAAAGGAATCAGAATAGGTGGGTGTGTGTACAGTTGAGAGTTAAAGATTGATTTCTCTTTTAAATTAAAGAGGAAGTAATCAGGTTAATTAGTAAATAGAAAAGATTCCTCTTATGGCCTAAGCAGGAAAGAAGCAGCTATCAATGCTTTTTAATTTCTACTAGCCTAAACAAAAATTTAGATATTTAACAATATTTTTCAGATGGTTTGAGACGTAATTGCTGATTACAAAATTAAACTTAGAGTTGGGATCCATCAAATCTATTTTATGAGCTCAAAGAGGTTTCTCATGCAGAATTCATTTGCACAAAAATGCTTCCGTAAGCTATTTTGTCATGTTGCTGCTTCACTCTTGTGCTTCCGTGTTCCCAACTAATTTATGGAGGTGTAGAACTCTAACATATATTTAAAATATTAAGAATGCATAGTAGTTTGTGTTTTAAGTTATACTTATGATTTACTAAACATGAACTACTTAAATTTAATACCTTAGTACTACTACAATATTGTATAACAATCACATATATTGTTATTTTATCTCAAGTATTTTTGTTAGAGAAGAAAGGGCATTCTTGTCAATATTTTCAGAGTTGCTCCAAATCAAATTAAGGTTGAGTTCTTTTTCTCTCTCTCTAAAGTTGAATTGACATGCATAGTAGTTCTGTAGTGTTTTATTTCCCCCCGCCCCACCCCCCAAAAACATCCCAAGCAGTGGCACTTTGGTACAATACTGATGGGCATCTCTAGAAACTGATTATTCTTTTACTAACAGGAGATGATTATTGATTAATTTGGAATTGATGTTTACAATCCAGGAAATATTTCCCCTCCCTTTTGGTCTATAATAATGTAGAAAGTCAGTCTTTAAAGTTTTTAATATCATTTTTTAAAGTGAGCAAACCAGTCAATGGGTTTGAACATGTGTGGGGGAAAAAGGCCAAAATCATTGCCCAAACTTAACTCTATGGGTTCCTTATAAATATTACTAATTTACATATTTGCTTATCTCCATTATCATGAAAAGTCTCATCACATCAATTAATATTAAAAAATAAAAAACACTAAATTTTTTTAAAAATTTCACTGTCAACAATTTTAGATTGATAGGAATTTTAAAATACAGGTTACAAAATACATTTTAATTCAGTCAATGTGAATTTGTTTTTTTAACTGGAAGTTAAGAGTATTTCCACTACTTGCATTTGATTAATTTTCCTGATTGTTTTTATTTTAGTATAATTGTTCTCATGCCAGATTTTTGACCTTATCATTATTTTAGCATAGCAATTTATTACTCAACTATAGTGTTTTAAACTTTAATAACATGGAAACAAAGAGAGATGATAAAAAAATTTAATTGGAATTCCAACCTATTTCTCCTTCACAAAATTTAGATTTCTCCATAAATATTACCATATATGAACATGAGCTGTGCAATATTTCAACAGTTTTTGAATCCACTAAACATGCAGTCAGTTGGTGCCCTGGTAAATTATTATGTGAAATAGACCTCAGAGAGAAAATAATTCGTGTAAAATGTTATAAAAACATTATTTCATTAAGAAGTAATAATGGGTTTGTTTCATTGGCATAACTTTTACAGTTCTCAGATAATGTGTATATCTGTTTATGCAAAATTACTTTGTAATGGAAAGTCAGATATACACATCAGAAATACCCAGATAATGTCATGAATGTCACGGGGTACTGAAAATAAGAGTCCACCAAATGTAGTAATAAGAACAAGACATCTTTTAAAATTATTAATTTATCATTAGTTACATATGAAAATGCACATAAAAATATTCAAGTTCAGGAATTCAACCCTTGCTAGTGTAAAGATGGCTAAATGAATATATGAGAGATATACACAAATTTCTGTTGAAATGTATATCGTTAACTCCTTTATCCACTGTTTGTTTTCATTATAGTCGCATAAAACTTGGGGGAACCATCTTTTCCTGTGAAAGTTGGGATCTCTCAGAAAGTCTCTCAGAAAGCACACCAGTTATCTTAATTTAAGATCTTGGAAGTAACTGACAGTACTGAAGGGCCTTTTGCACCAGTGTATGCATTCAAGAGATTTTCTTCAACTTGGTCTGCGGAGGTCTGGGGAGGCTACCTGCTTCAAATGTCCATATAATGAAACAAAAAAGATAGTGGGCATGGAGGTAGCAGTATCAGAAAATTAGAGCTGGCAGCATCAGCAAACTGAATTGAGGTAGTTTCCTCATTGAGCTGTGAAACTAGCTTTCTTATTGATAGAGTTGCTCTCATATACGTAACTGTTGGACTGGCAAAACAAACGTAGGTACTCCTAACCCACAGACCACATTGGTGTTTTCTGAAGGTATCTTAAATATGTCTAAAAAGGGTTCTTTCATGCCAAATGTATTCTATGTTCCCGACAGGCTAACCATCTTTCAGGTGCTAATATTGCCGTAGTGTGGCTTGAGAAACCTAATTTCTGTTAAGTTTGTGGTTCTACAATTTAAAGAAAATTTGTAAACAAAAAATACTCAGGTCAAGGGACTAAAAAGGAATGATGCATAAGGTATTTTGAGCTGATTATAAGGTTATGATGTACTCTGACCCAGCACAAAATGTTTTCTCTTGTTATATATTTTAAAATATGTGTGTGTGTGTGTGTGTGTGTGTGTATATATATATATATATATATATATATATATATATATATAAAATTGGCTAGTCTCTAAACTACTCCTTCCCATATTAATTTTAGAAATCAACTTATAGGTGGATGGTGTTTAGACTTTTGAGGAATGTAAAAGAAAAAGAAATAACCAAGATATTACATACTACAAGAGAAATTATAATTTGGCAAATTCATTCCAGCTTTGCCCTAGGTGAAGCTCCATGTTTGGACACTGATGATGAATATTCTTCAGTAACTGGTGATTTAGAAAGTTGATCTGAAAGGACATTTTTCCTTCCATTTTCTCCATATATACACTAAGAAAAAAAATAGCACTAAAATTTCTTATACTATCTTTATAAAATGGACATTCGCTTTGTTGTTTTTCTTGCAACAGCTTGCCAGTTGGGTGAATTTAAATTTCTAACATCAAAATGGAGTTTACAAGGGAGGAAAAAATATGACCTTCCTCCACTCCCCCCAATTTAATACTTAAATCTCTGATTGAAAGTGGCTTTTATAACAAGCACATGGAGACTGCAGCTGGTTTATAAATAAGCACATAGTAACCTATAAATTAACCTGCTCATAAGTAAATTATGCATCTTACTTCAGCCAACATAAACATGCCCATCCTATTTTTCTGGTTTACTCTGTCTGCAAAAACTGTATAATTTTGTGCTTAGGTTATTCATTTAAGCAGATTGATTTCTTTTTCATGCCTCATTTGGGCCATAGAGGATTAAGTAAGTTTATATACTGAAAACACAAGGAAAGAAAGGTGAGAAAAATAAAAGGAATAATTAATCATATAGTACATACATCAATACAATATCTACTAAATCTCAATCAGTTGTTTATTGGTTGGCAAACAAGTTTCACTTTTACAACAAATATTAGTAATGAGGTCATCCAACTTTGAGACCATACAAAATGGATCATAAATTTAAAAAAAAAATTATATGTGCTGCTAATTTACCTCTTGTATTCCTACATTACTTAAAATCCTGTCAAATAAATAAATTTTCCTGTTAATAAACAGAAGAGTTTTGTTTTGTGTTTTTTCAAAAAATCACTTCGAAATAACTTGACCTTTTGGTTCTTACTACAAGGGAGTGAATTTCCTTTAAAAAGTGGTAGTGCAGGTACCCACTTGGGGATCAGACTGAGCATTCAGCACTTTAATGCCTATAGGATACCGTTTTTGTTTTTGTTTTCCACATGCAGAAGCCCCACTAGTTCTATTGACACCTCTTGACTTCTAGAACCATAGCTACTGGCTTGGTGGATGAATTGCTTGCCGAATACCTTGCATTACAACAGATGTGCACTGTAAACATAAAAGTTTGTCCTGCTCTAATTTGCAAAAATGCTCTTGGAAATATTCTGACTGAATAAAGATATATAGTGAGGGAAGTAAATCTAATTTTATTTATTTTATTTTTTTGTAAAAAATAATTTGTTTGCATTACTAGAAAATGATTCTTATAAAGTGATAGTTTTATTTATTTATTTATTTATTTATTATTTTTTGCCAGGTGAAATTTTAAAGAAATAGGCAAAAAAAAAAAAAAAAAGAAAGAAAAAGAAAAGTAAGAAAAAGTGAAGAAAGAAACAAAAAAGAAAGGAAGAAAACTTTGCTCTCTTACTGGTAGACAAACTTGCAAGACCAGCACAAAAGAAAAAAGAAAATCTCTCTCTTTTTCTGTTTTTGCACTACATTAACAGGACTCAAATTCTGGAGGAACAGAAAGCAGACTATATGTGCAATGCTAGTATCTGTACATTACATAGAAATTGTTCGTGTTTTTTCTGCCATTAGTTTTATCATCAGTTAATACAGCAAATCATAAAATATGCATTTAGCATATAATCCTAGAATTCCCCTCCATTTTGTTATTAATTTTGTTGTTTTATTTTGTATACCACAGCTATTATCGCTGTGATGAATTCAGGCTGTGAGTGACTAAAAACCACTATGTGATACAGTTTTGCTTTGCTTTTATGTTTGTGCAGCACTCCAATCTAGATGCAGCATTGTTACTAATTTCAAACAACTCTTCTGGCCTTTTAAAAAATCAGGTCCTTGTAATTATAGTAACAGAGCATCAGAGATGTTAGAACAAACACAACATAATTCAACAAGGCCACAATGAGCGCCATTTTCTTCATATCTCGTTCATTAACATAATGAAGTCTCCATCTGAGGGGGGAAAGGACAGGAAAGGATAGGGCGCAGGGGAATTTCAGCAGTTATCTTTCTCCCCTGGGCTGACCTAAAAATCCCAGTTGAAAAAAAAAAAAAGAAGTCTGAGAGTTCGTGTTTGTCATTCAAGAATAGCATAAAGATTTAGGAGTACACACATTTTACCACTGCTTATAGCAACTCAGAACAGTCAACCAGGTGTTAGCAGTTTTGTCGATTTAAATTTCTTTTTCATCTTCTATAGACTTGTGACCAAATGAGCAGGTCCTTTTGAACTTCCTTCTGGAGGGGTTCCATCTTTGTTTGGAGGAACTATAAATCCATCACTGCTACCGCGACCTAGCTGGTAGTAGGTGTGCAGCTGATGGATGTGGTTTCTGGAGCCTAGGTTTGGCATGCTTTTGTAGTAAACATCTTCGGCATCACCACATTTGGCCGGTGGGGGTTCGGTCTGGGTGCTGGTGGTAACACTCTCTGCGGCAGGCACACCAGCCAGCGCCGGCATGCTGGTGTAGCGAGAGTCCCTATGGGGTGACTGGAGATCTTCTGTGTGCTCGTTGGTTAGCAAAGGGAAAAAGCTTTCACTGTGGTCTTGGGGGATCCGCCTTCTGGTGTAATGGTGTGGCTGGTGGTTCTCTGTGGAGTAAATTCTTGGGGGCAGTAAGGGAGCATCAGATTCCTCATGAATGAGTTCCAGACCCAAACTCTCCTCGTGGTTAAAGGAAGTGGCGTCATCCAGGACAATGGCATCATCTTCACTCCCACTGCCGAGGTTATTCACCAGCTTGTTCATCAGGTTCCTGTTCTGTTCGCAGGAGCGCTCGTGGTTGTTCAGGTAGGAAGGTATATAGTTGGAAGTGAGTTCCTTTAGAATCTTTTTCTCTAGGGCGGTCTCATTGTGGTTATAGCCTCGGTCTATGATTTGCACACAGTTGCTCAGGTATTCGCCGCTGGCAATGCTGTAACTATTGCCATGGTTACCATTCAGTGGTAGAGTATCCATGACACTTGTATCCCTGGCATTGTTCAGAAGCCCCTCTGGAAAAAAAAATTACAAAACATAATGACATTTATATCCAAGTGGCCATGGAACACACACACACACAAACACAAAAGCAAAAACATGTGACTGTGAAGCATGTATAAATTGCTAGCATTTTAAATTAAGTATAAAATATTTGGAAATAAACAAAAGCACTATTAAATCTAATTACATATCTATCTATATATTTGGATAATTGATAGAAATCTTTTAAGTGGAAAAGAAGTATTTAAAATAAATCTTTTAAAAAGCCTATGAATTTGCAACTTATACACAAACATTGCCTAAAATTATTTGAAGCCTGTTTCATTAGAACTTAGAAAAAAATGATGCAAAATTTTGGTACGATCATTCATAGCTTTCAATTTATACACATCAAAGTCAATTCAATCATTAATTACATTTGATTTTACATGTTTTAACATTGAAATAGATATAATAACAACATAATTTGTGTGTGGTACTTTATACTGGTCAAAGTGAAAGAATCAAGCAGTTTCTAATAATTTGACATATAATTTTGTAATACTAAAAAAAAGTCCCTAGATACAAAACCACAAAAGAAATATGTTTAATTTGTCAGAATGATGTAGTCATAAAATAATGTTTAGTCAAATAAATGGCACATCAAAATAATTTGCACATAGGAACTTGCAAAAACAAAAATATTTGTCATTACTTCTTTTTTTTTCCTGCTGTAAGCACTTCGGTTGCTATTTTATATTAACCCATTAGTAATTATTTAGGGTCATTAGGTAATACTACAAAAGAATGTGTAAAGATACAGAATTTGATTCCCAAAAACATAGTGTTTCCATTTCATAATGAGTGATGACTTTATGTATATTAAACTTTAGGTTTAAAAAGAGATTAAACATTATATTCTGGGAAGGAAAAGCTGTAGTGAAATAAATTTGACCACATGCTTATTCAAGGTTTTTCATTCTCTTAAAGGAACAGAAATCCAAGAATATAATAATTCCATAAATCACTTCAAATGCAACCATAAAAATCAAACAAACATTTGTCTAACTAGTGGTAATAAGCAAAGTATTTCTTTACAGAACAATTAATTGAAGAATTCTATTAAACTTCTCAATATACAGCTAACTTGTGAAAATATAGCATTCATTCTATATCTGTGATGCAATAATGTTTATCAAAACTAAATAGTTCAGTTGGTTTAAATAAAGTGTCCCAAATATGTCAATTTTTATATAGACTTCTGATGAATACTCTGTATTCAAGTAAGTTTTCAAAAACAGCAACGCATAAAATACATTAACAAGCAGGCATCACAGACATAGGGTGAAGCAATTTATTTTCATGTTATAAAATACCTTGTAGACAAATCCACAATGTTAAGAAAAAAAAGTAAATGCTTTTTAAAGGGCCATATGTGATGGGTGATTGCTGCTGCAGAGTATGCTTGATGGTTATGGTTGAGCGACTGATGCATTGAAACATGTGTTTATTGTTTCTGTTGTCAATGCATTAGGTACAGGTTGAAAACAGCCATAGTAAAAATAAAGTGGGCATGTTGCATGTGACATCCATTTGTATGATGGAATGTACTAATTAAAATGAAAAGTTTATGAATTAGCAAAAAAAAAATAAGTGCTTAATTTAAAAACAATTTAACTCACACAAACATTACATGAAACTTAACAACTATGTTGATTATGTGACACAGTAAAAGAATCAGACAACAAAAGCGTCTAATCTCTATTAACATTAATATAAGTCAGTTTATAGGTTCTTTAGTTTTTAAATTGTGAGATGAACTGTTTTTAATAACTACATCATCTATATGTGATGCAATAAAAGTGAACTAAAAAAAATTACATTTGATATGCAATGTTTAGCTTTACTCCCATACTTGTCTCTCTGTAGGGCTCTAAACGACAGCATGAAGAAAAGGAAAGAAAAAACAACAAGTAAGCTTACAGCGACAGTAGAAGAAACATGAGTAAAAAGCAAATTGATGATATGCAGAAAAAAGAGTCAAAGGAAATAATTTCCACTGTCCCAAAATTTATGAGTCTGTGTTACATGGTTTATCGTAATTAAAAATACTGAAATGTTAGTCAGAAAATAAGAACCCCCCCTTAACACATGCTAATAAAATGAGTCTTTAATAGCATTCCTGCAGTTTGTAAATTTCAAACAAATACACATTTTTTAAGATTATCACACCAACCGAGAGTAAAAATTTGAGGGCAAGTCATGACTATTTCCACAAATATATTTTAATATTTTATATACATGTGTGTATGTATGTATGTTTGAAAAATGCCTGCTTCTGAGAAATGTCATTTAACCTAAACATTTTTCAGTAAAATTATAGTCTTTAGCTTATATACAGACAGAAAACTATAGTTGGAGGTTTTCATATTTTTTCCCTTACGTATCTTCTCTTGCCATTTACAAAGATTATTTTCCTCCTGCTGTGCTTATACAAATGTTTCTTTTAATTTGTGAATAATACTGATCAATACTGTCATTTCCGGAGCTCATATTCAAAAGTTGTTTAACTATGAAGAAAGAAAATGGTTAAATCCAATCATTATTCTATATCAAGGAAATGTGAGGAGGGGGAAAATACCATCATCAATATTGTTTTCTTCTGAGTAGTTGCACAATCATATGCAATCAAACTTTTTGAGCTGATTTATTAAAATCAATCCTAGCAAAATTATTTTTTAAAAACCCATATTTTAATCAGGTCAAAAGAACTGCTCTTGCTGATTTTGTTTACAGGAAAGTTGTTAACCCCCTCCCCGCAAAGAAATCCCCAAACCTCCAGCAAATCCATTAGGCTAGACCATTTCAAGAGATTCAGACTTGTTATAATTTAACCGCTGCTTTAGAAATAAGGTGTTTGTATTTTAAATGTTTATTTGCTTTTCAGCTAAAGACCAACAATACTTCAAAATGCAGAGGAATTTCTTTAAATTTTCAAAAGAGCTTCACAAAGAGAACTGGAAATAAAAAGCCAAACCATAAAGCACAGAGAAAAATCATTTGTAGGTTCATTGTGGCTCTCTACTTAAATGACAGAATTTTAGAACTGGAAAGCACATGAGAGGTGGAAGGTCAATTCCTCCTTTTAAGAGGTGAGGAAAACTGCAACCAAGAGAGGGGAAGCCCTGTCTAGCCTGCTGTGGATAGTAGCAGGGTTGGGATCAGAAAGGGGAACCTTCTGGGTTTGCTCTGGGTGCTATCTCTTTTTCTTCACATCTGCCTGAGGCTTTGGATATTTATTTACAAATTTTATAATATAACCTTGTATTCTTACCAACTATAATATATAATATATCCTTCACTCTATCCCATCATAAGGATATGTGTTTAATGTTTTAGAATTGAATTAAATTACTTTAAAATATAAATTATTTTATACCATCATGACTTCCTCTATATCACGTTTCATGGACAAGTTTATCTATAATGAAACTGATCTTACAAAAATTGAATTGTCCAATATTGACAGGAAGATAATGGCCCAGAATCACTATACACGAAATTTTAACTATTTCCACGGACATTCTAAATTCAATATAACAAAAGTATGCTATTCATCTTTATTCCTAAGTAAGCTTCAGTAACACTGTAAACACATCTTTATATATTTTACATAAAGGCATTACAAACAAAAATGGATACTTTAAATCTGAATGCTTCTCTGCTTGACGGCATTGGTGCAACTGAATCAGAGAATCCACAGAACAGAACCAAGTGGGGATTCAATATAAACCACTCCAGTACATACCGAGCCACCTATATTTCATGTAAGATTTCACCTTGCCAGTAAGAATATAAGTGCATTCATCTGAAAACATAAGATTAGTAGCAATATGACAATCACCAAGATTTACTTTGAGTCACTGGTAAAAAACTATTTTAAGCACTACCAGAGTTTATTAACGTCTTAAAAATATTAAAACATCACATAGCAAAACAATTCCACTTCTGACTCTGAAAAACAGTAATAAAATTATTTACTCTTAAAATTAAGAAATTCAGTAGAATTTATTTAATTTACTGGCATAAACTACAAATCCATTCAGAAGAATCTTTTGTATAGTAAATGATAGTCTTAATAGCAACATCCAGTAATAGATTCCATAGAAAGTAAAACTTTATATGTTATTATTTTAAATTTTGCATCATGAAAATTTCGATTCGGTAGTGTTTATAGAAGAGTTCCATCCTTAGAAGAATCTACTAATTTAGGATATCAATAAAAATAAAATGAACAAGAAGGCAGATACTGAACTAGAAAACACCATATATAAAAATAAGTGTTAATTTTTCATTACATAAGATTCTAAAAATTATATCAGAATAAGCAAAAAAGCTAACCAAAATGTGATCTAAATTTGTTACTTGTTTTAAAACAATTTCCAGCAACTTTTTGCATGAATGATGTAAAATAGTTTTAATATGAAGATATGCTATAAATCTTCATTTAACATCACTCAAAACTTACTATGCCAGCACATTTATGATGTTGCAAATAAATCTGTTCCATAGCCTTTTTTTTTTAAAGGCCTTTATAAGGTCTGCTACACTGTTCTGCCAAATCATGTGTGGTGCATTGTGTAATGTACATTTTACTGAGGGATACAATGAAATAGGGACATTGACAAATCAGAGAAAATTTAGGGGGGGTGACCATGAAGAAGGACCTAGAAACTATGTCATATTAATGGCACTGAGGTTATTTTATCAGGGAAATGGAGGACTAACAGAGCAGGTTAGCTGCTTTCAAGTATTTAAAGGATTGCCACAAAAAAGCATAATCCTTTGCTCTTTGCTCTAGAGGGCAAATCTTAAGTGTCATGGCCAGAGGCACATTTCAGCTCAGTGGAAGGAAAAAATATATATACAACAAATGGAGCATTTCAACAGTTGAATGCAGTTGACCCTTGAACAGCATGGGTTTGAACTGCATGAGTCCACTTATACATGGATTTTCTCAATAAATACAGTAAATGTATTTTTTTCTTTCTTATGATTTTTTCCTCTAGGTTTTATGTAAGACTACATTACATAATACATATAACACATGAACTGTCAACAGATAGCATATGTAATCAATAGCAGGCCCTTAGTAGTAAAGTTTTTGGGGAATCAAAATTTATATGCAGGTTGGGTGCTCCTAACCCCTGATGTTCAAGAGTCAACTGTATATGAAATCCTGAGCTGGAAAGGGACATGTTAGAGAAAATGCTTTAGCACAGGCTGGCAGAATGTCAGCAATGTTGTAAAGAGGACCCATGAGCTCTGTTCCCTCTCCTGTTTCTAAACCTTTGATTCCTAGACATGGAGGCCTTAAGAAAGCTGATCAAATTTAAAGTTGGCATAATTATTTTATCCTATTGACAAACAGACTGTATTCCTGAAAACAATTATTTAGGAATAATTTAAAATCATCCTTTGTATTTGGCAAGGTATCATGTGGGAGCTCAGATGGTTTTAGACAGCCCATGGCCATGCTGAAACAAACATGCTTTTTCAGAGTGAGCATTCACACCCGATTTTACGAACTCATGTCCCTAATCTTTTACCTCTGACTGAGAAGAAAAAACAAACAAAACTCCCTCAGAGATTCTTACAGAGGATAATAGAAATTTTATTCAAAATTGTCTCAAAATGTAAAATACTGCTAATCTATCACATTCAACTAGAAAGAATATTGGAAGTCTCTGTGTTATACTGAATTTTCTTTCAAATATAATTTTTAAATAACTAGATCATTGATTAGGATTTTTATTTTATAAAAATTTTATTTAAATTTTTTTCCTGTGGTCTCTACCTACAATATGGATATTTTCTATATCTTGTCTTCAATATTGTAAATGGTTTAAAGAGATCTATGCTTATTTGTTTCATAGACAATTAAATTTTATATCATTTAAAACCAGAGGATATAAAGAACCATATTCAAAAGCCTAGTTTTTAACATGTAGACACAATAGAAAAGAGTTTTTGTAACCTTCTTGAACCAGCTCATATGGGTGATGCAAAGCTAGGGCAGAACCTGATCTGCTACTGTTCAGTTCACTTGTCTTTCCTCCTTGTTTCAGATCAGTGTAACTTTCCACGGAGTCAATATAAATGCTTTCATCAGTACTGATGCTTTGTGCCCAGAAGGTGCTTCATGGTGTAACAGTACAATTATTTACTTCATCTTAAAACATTAAGACTAGTGGATCAAGTGTTATCACACTTACCTTAGGTAAATATCTCATTTCTCAAAATAAATGCATAGGTATTTACTATAGAAATCAATCAACAACAAGAAAAGTATTGACAAGCCACAAAACATTTTAAAACATCACAAAGAAACAAACGCACATTGATGAAACAAGCATTTGTTTACCAGAAGGAAGGAATCCATTTCTTGGAAATGGAAATGGAAAACCTAAGGAAAATGGAAAATAAAAGCACCAAGAGGGGTAGAAGGTGAAAGGGATCTGTGTGTCTGCTTCCAAAAGAAAGAAAAGGCAGGAGAAAGGAAAGAAAAATAGAATGTGGCCATAAAAGCTACATAAAATGGGACTCTCACTTGAAAAAATTAAGATAAACTCCAGCACACCTTGTGCGTTGTACATGCTGACAGAAGGGTTGTTACAGACCGCCGGTTCCCCAAGCAATGTATTATAGGGATTGTTAGTACCATGCGGACGAAGCAGAGCATTGCTTATAAGATGATTAGCCATGGCTCCTGGAGCAGCCCCATAGAAAGACAGAGAAAAAAAAAAGGTCAATCAGGCAAATGTGTTTGAAAAAAAGAAAGGAAACATTTAGAATGACAACAGTTGATATAGCCCTGATTACAGGCAGGCAGCTAATTAGACTAAAAAATATATGCCGCTAAAGCACACATGTTTCCAACAATGCACATATCCAAGTCAATGGGAAAGAAAGAAAATGGTTTACAATGTTGATTAAGCCACATTTAGGGCGTTCTCTTTTCCAAAGTATAAGCAAGAATATTCCCATGCTTGCTAAAAATAACAATTAAAAAAAGCAAAATATAGTTTTTCATACAAACAAAAGACAAAACATAAAATAAAAGTTGAAAAAAGTTAAAAACAAAGAAAAGGTAAAATTAAATAAAACATCCCCTCATTCACAGAAACCATTGGGTTGTTTTCAATGAAAGTATAGAAAGAATAAAAGGCAACATTTACGATCAAACACTCATTTGGAGAGCAGTTGTTGACACGACAGAAGGCTTTGACATGTCTTAAAATTTTATGAAGAGTAATTACTTAAATTAAATTATAATAAAATAATCACTCTTATTAGTACACCATAGTAAGCATACTAATTAAGTGAATATACAAATCTCATAAAATGATCATATGGGCATTATTTTAAAATATTTAAAATAAATATTAACTTCATGGTATCAAGCAAATATATATATAATTCTATTTTCCATTTTCCAACTGGTTGTTTGGATTTTGACAGAGCAAAGTAACAAAGTTAGATTCTTTCATCTCTTGTGAACAGATATACTTAGTTTCTAACATACCATCAATATGAGTTGCAACCTCCCACCCTCCAAAGCCATTTAATCAAAGAGCAAAAAACAATCAGGGGAGCAGTTTTATTAACTATAATTAGGGCAGATGTGAAAATGATAGACAGAATGTGTATTAATGTTAGATGATGAAGAAAGGAAAAATGACAGGGGAAAGGAAAACACATTGTATAGAAACAGGTTGAACATACTAGTATATGCTAATTTAGATATACATGAAAGAATGAAAATGTAATCTATAAATGAGGTGAAAATATTTGCAAACAAATTTATAAATATTTGCAATCCAACAAAGAGTTAGAATCTGGAATATAGAAAGAGCTGTCAAAGTCAACAGTCAAAAAAACAAACAAAACACACACACACAAATTTCAATTAGAAATAGGGCAAAGGCATAAACAGACATTTCATGGAGGAGCACATAAGGATGACAAGCTCATGAAAAGAACTGCTATTAGTTATTACAGAAAAACAGATTAAAATCACAATGAGTTTTCACTAAATAATTAAAATTAAAATAGTGACAATATCAAGAAAAGGCTGGCAAGGATGAAGAAAAACTGAATCACTCATATTTTGCTGATGGGAATGTAAAAGAATACAGCTACTCTGGAAAACAGGTTAGCAGTTTCTTATAACACTAAAAGTGCAATTACCATACCACCCCACAATCATACACTTGGATTTTCATCCCAGGGAAATGGAAATTAATGATTACACAAAAACCTGCAGATAGATGTTCACAGCAGATTTGTTTGTAATAACACAAAACGGGAAACAACCTAGATGTCCCTTAACTGGCAAATGGATAAGCAATCTGTGATGCATTCCTACCATGGAACACTACTCAGTAATAAAAAGGAAATATTGATGCACATAATAACCTGGATGAATCTATAGAGAATTATACTGAATAAAAGAGATAATCCCAAAGGTTATATACATATATATCCTGGAAATGACAAAACTATAGAAATGAACAATTTACTTGACTGCAAGGGGTTAGAGATGGAAGGGTATGGTCAATAAAAGGGCAACATGAGGCATCCTTGTGGTAATGGAACTACTTTGGGTCTTGATTGTGGTGGTATACAAGGTCTGTCTGGAAAAAGTCCAACCACTGTTAATATAACAAGAATGGTTTCCATGGCATCTATGTCACCTGGCAGCCAAGCAAAGTAGACTGGAATGTGCATGTGTGAACAATGACGACTTCACTGTACTAGTCAGTGGGGACGTTAGACGCCCTTGAGTGAGCATGTGTACTGTGTGGCCATCACATTCAAAATGACTGAGCTAGTAGAGCAATGAATCTGCATAAAATTTTGTGTTAAGTTTGCATACTTCCCTAAGGAAACTATTTGGATGGTTCAGAAGGCCACAGCTATGAAGCTAATGATTGGCAGCTTCACCATGACAACGCTCATGTATCATGTCTGGTGCAGAGTTTTTTGACGAAACATCAAATCACCTAAGCGACACAGCCCCCCTACAGCTCAGATATGGTGCCTTGTGACTTATGGCTTTTCCAAGAACTAAAAGCACCTTCGAAATGAGAGAAATTTCAGACCATCAATGTGATTCAGGAAAATATGATGGGGCAGCTGTTGGCAGTTGGGAGAATTGTGTGAGGTCCCAAGGTGCCTCCTTTGAAGGGGACTGAAGTGTCATTGTTCTATGTACAATGTTTTCTGTATCCTGTATTTTCTTTAATAAATTTCTCTGTATTTTTCATATTAGATGGCCGGATACCTTCTGGACAGGCCTCATATATTACAAAAACATACTTTTGCAACAGAATTGCGTAGAACAAAACACACACAAGTACAGTTAAATATTAAAAAACCTGAAGAAATCTGAATCAGATTGGTGGATTGTATGAATGTCAATATCCTGGTTGTGATATTGCAGTATAGTTTTACAAGATATTTTTGATGGAAACCCAGTAAAAGGTAGATGATCTCTGTATTATTTCATATGACTGAAAGTGAATCCACAATGATCTCAAAATAAAAAGTAACTGATGTTGAATAAAAAAACAAAACATCTCATCATTTGTAGAAGATGTGAAACAAATGGGAAGGAAAAATTTGGCCTGGGAGTATTAAATTGTTGAAATCATAGCTCTTTGCTATATGGTAAATTCTCAGTCAAGTAACAAATATTTTCCAAACTGGGGAGTTAACACCTCTTCAATTAAAGGACAATATAGCTTGTCAGATATCTAGAGCTAGAAAGTTTCAGTGAGTTCAGGAAATAAACCATGTGTTTGCATCTTACACATCTGACAAGGAGGAGCATTGAACTAGCATAAAATTTTCAAAAGTGCTGATGACTATTGGCTGATGTTGTATAACACATATATTGACATATTTTTATATATTGCAAAGGCCCATTGTCAATTTATGATATAATGGGTGTAACAGGATATTATTTCCCATTAACAAATTAAATATATAAAAATTAGTAAGAAAAGCTAAAATAGGGTTGGCTCCAGTGCCTTTAAGAAATGAAATATTGTAAATCTTAAACATGTATATTGTCAATGTTACACAAATGTCAGATTGTTAGATATAGGATTTGATCTGCACAAAATTTTTAAAAAGCTAATTACACGTAAGTTATACCTGCTACCACATGTTTATTATTCTAGCCTATTTTGCAAGTAAAAAGTAAAGTAATTTTCTAACATAAATCATTACTTTCTAAAATTACTCTAAGCATTTAAATAGACAATGAAAGCTATAAGTAATGATATGAACTAGGATAAAAACCTTAAAAATATAAAATAGTTCATATTCTTATTCCTTACAATTCATCACAGATCAAAAATAGAGTAAAATCTTTATGGTGGGATTTATATCACATCTCTATACATTTCCCTTCATTACTACATATTATTTAATTTGAACTAATTGGAAAACAAATAGTAGGCTGAGAAGATTGCAGCTACTTTTTCCCCTAGCTTCATAGAGTTCATAAAATAAATATTCATTTTATATATATATGCACACACACTGATGTAAAGGAAGGTGATTTGCTTTAGTGTTCTCATTACAAGAAAAGACATTTTGTAACTAGGTATGGTGACAGATGTCTACCAGACTCATTGGGGTGATCATTTTGCAAAATAAATAAGGAATCATTATTTCATTCTCCCGTAACTAATATCATGTTATATGTTGATTATACCTCAATAAAAATAAATAAAATATAAAAGACTTTTAAAAATGTGATAATCTGGGCTTTAAAATAAGGAAACCATTCAGTTGGGATGAACCAAGTATAATCAAGAAGACAGTGACACTTTGAAATAAAACTCAATACTTTGGTTTTTGTTTATCATTCAATTTGTAAAAATCTAAGGACAGAAGAACAACAATAAGAACTGTAATCATTCCAAAATGGAATAATAAAATCATAATGAAGCTATCTACATTTTCATAGATAACTCATCTGGTTATATCTTTTGTAGCATAAAATTCCTTTTCAGATTTTTCTTAACTTTTAAAAAAGTTTTCTGGATGTACGTTAAAGTACTTTTATCTGTGAACTATTAATGTAGGAAGACTGAGGTTTTTTCCAAGAATTATGAGAAAATATTTTATTCAAGCGACCTTCTTATTTTGTAGAATTGTAGGAAGACAGAGTTTTAAAGTTCATTTTATTTATGACCAATTCCTGGTAAAGCAGGAAGGCCAGCAACAATAATAGAAACGTTATGGGTATACGGCTGTGCTATGACAGGATACTGGCAGAATAGAACAATATTGCCTCAGCTACAAGACTTTGGTTGTGTGCTTCCTCAAATCTAGGTGCAACCCAGAATCAGTTAATTAATTTACAACTTAAAGAAACATTTCCTTCTCTATCCTTGGTGTTGTTGACCTTTCTCTAATAGAAAAGGAATCATACTTCAATTTTCTTTTTTACTATCACTCACTATTATACACCACACACTATTTGAAACCAATGTAATTAATGTCATTGAAACTAACTTTAGTTCTGCAAATGGAGAGTTATCATTCAAGTGAGGGCTCAGTAACAGAAAATCCAAAGTAGAATATTAAGTTTGGTGATTAGTGTTTTGCAAGGAGTATAGTAACGGAAAAGCTCTATGGGTTTGTTGGTTCTAAAGAGAGAGGGATATGTCCCAGTAACCAAACAATTATTCC